TGCATTCAGGGCAGGTGGGGGTGGGGTGGGTGGCAGTGGTGCTGGGAGAGGGGCTGTGGGGGGCTATGGCAAATTTTGAGTTACAGCCCACTCCATAGCCCCTCCTCCCAGTGCTGCTGCTGCCCACCTCAGGCCAACCCCCCCTGCCAGGAAGAGGCTGGCACAACCCCTGGCCCTGAGCCCACAGCAGGCAGTCCATCCTCACCCTGCACGCTAATCTAAGGGGCACATACCTCCCCCAGAGGTGCGTGCAGAGGAGGGGAGCAACCTCCCACCCCATCCCCTGCAGCTCAGTCCTGTGCCCTGCTGCTGCTGGGCAGCACCTGCTCCACTCCCTCCCTCTGTGGGGGCCTCCATCATGGAGCTCCCCCTTCATGCCCTTCCCCTCTGCCCCTTCCCTTCCCACCCATCCCCTCCCCCACAGCAGACTTACTGGCTGAACATTGCTCTCCAAGCTGCTGGGCTGCATTCCTGGCCACATGCATGCTAAGGCTGCTCATTTCCATGTGGCATTTATTGGCAACATTATTGGCTACACTGGCCAAAAAAAGCCATTTGACCGATGATGTCAATTTTCCTTTTATTGGTGCCAATCCGATATGGACCGATATCTCGGTGCACCTCTATTCATTTCCCACACTTTTATTAGCTAGGGGCAGAGAACCAGAAACAGCTGGGCATTTCACAAAACAAATCCTTTTTAATGCATCTTTGGTTCTAGAAACTGAAAGAAGCTTTCTCATTTTTCCGTGGTCCCCTGAATTATAGAATGTACCAGTGTGATGTTGCTTGCTTTTGCCCAACAAGCAGGATTCACAGAGGGTATCGTCAGTGCTTCTCTGCACCCTTCCATTTTCTTTAGGTAATGATATGGCATGGTTATCACCAAGACTTAAACAAATACAGTGAAATACAGCAATTGCAGAGTATGGAGGTTATACATGTGCAAAATGGTTCTTTTTGGTATCCTTTATCAGAAATATCTCACTTCTTTTCAATCATATATACATTCCAAATTAGACTTCTCTTCACAGGTCTGGTGGCTGCTGCTGTTAGGAATTGACTTACTGCCCCACAGATTCAATACTTGAAACTGCCAACTCTTGGTCATTCTTTACCCTTAAGGGTGTCAACTTTCTTTGCAAAGTTCATTTTGTTTCAGTCTTTGTCCTTATCAGTTTGACAAGAAATAAATTGTTTTTTATAAAATACATCCATGTGGTGGGAAGGGGCTGCTTGAAGTAGCTTCTGCTTTGAGGGCCACCTGAAACTGTAGTTTGATCCTCTTTCGGGAACTTGATTGGTTAATAGACTGGCTTTGTAGTGGCTGGTTTACAACCATGCAGAATTATTGTATGTCACATGACTTTTTCAGCAGTTCTATTATTTTAGCACTCTAACAGATTTTCTTTTCAATATATCCCAAACCTTAATCTCAACCATGTTGTTGGAGTAAACAGTAGTTGGAGATCTCAGCATTTGAGGTTCCCATGTTGTTGACTCATCTGCCTCTATGACAAAAGAGCTTTATAAAACACCTAATCAGGTAGCTAAAGAGATTAATAAATTTTACTTAATTAAAAAAATTACTGAGTTGAAGAGGGTTTATGAAATTGAACACACAGTTGAGTTTTTATGAAAAAACAAGTATTTGGAAGTAGCAGTACCCTTGTGACTAGGACACTGCTCCTGCTGCTTAGGTGGGTCAAAATCAAAAGCAAAATTGTGTGGCAAACTTTGTTAGAGTATAGCTATAACCACTGTAACATACCTACTTGTAATAAACAGGCCCATTAGCTGTGGTGTTGATTAAATACAGTATTTTGAATTACGCTGTGAAATAATGTTAAAACCCTCTAAGAGTGGGTTGTGTATTCTCCTTTGAGTGTGTATCTGCTGTCCTACCAAAATTGATAAATTTAAATGCGTAATTGTGTTGGTAATATGTTTTGGAAAGAAGAATTACTGCAGATATGGGGAGAAGGAAGTTACCAGTAACTAATAGCACATTCATAGAATCATAGAAATGAAGTTGGAAGGGACCTCTGGAAGTCATCTAATCCAACCCCATGCTCAAAGCAGGACCATCTCCAACTAGATCATCCCAGCCAAGGTTTTTGTCTAGCTAGGTCTTAAAATCCACTAAGGATGGAGATTCCACCACCTCTCTGGGTAACCTGTTCCAGTGTTTTACTACCCTCCTAGTGAGGAAGTTCTTCTTAATATCCACTCTAAACTCCCCTTCCTGTAACTTGAGACTACTGCTCCTTGTTCTGTCATCTGTCACCACTGAGAACAGTTTAGCTCCATCCTCTTTTGAACCCCACTTTAGGTAGTTGAAGGCTGCTATTAAATCCCCTCTCCATCTTCTCTTCTCTCGACTAAATAAGCCCAGTTCCCTCAGCATTTCCTTGTAAGTCACATGCCCTAGCCCCCTCACCATTTTCATTACTCTTTGTTGGACTATCTCCAACTTATCCACATCCTTTCTGTAATGGTGGGGGGGCTCAAAGCTGGACATGGTACTCTAGATGTTGCCTCACCAGTGCTGACTAGAGGGGAACAATCACTTCCTTTGCCCTGTTGGCAACACTCCTACTAATGCAGCCCAGTATGTCATTAGCCTTCTTTGCAACAAGGACAAAACTGCTGGCTCATATTCAGCTTACTGTAGCCCCCAGGTCCTTTTCTGCAGAGCTGCTGCCCAACCAGTC